GCGGCATCTGCTATTCCGCCAACTATCGCATCGATCACGTCAATGAGTTTAAACTGTCATTGAGTCAGCAGTTGCCAACAGTTTATTTTTAGTTTCATCTTAGATCTCGTAGGTATCGATCTTTCACTGGAGGAACGATTAATGCTGAAGTTCTTGGATTTTCCTGATAAAAACAAAATTTTCTGTAACACGATAATATTTTTTACACAATATATAATAGAAGATAGGAAAAGTCGCGGTTGTGTTGACAAATAGCTTAGTTACATTCCTACTGATTATATATCAGAATATTTATTAATGAGATGAAAAAGACAAATTTATCTTGGGAATCTATAATAGAGATTAATAGAGACGTCTGAATATATCTTTATCATTCATATTTTAGCTACAAACGCCATCGACAACAAGGATCTGCCAGCTTCGAAATTGTTGTTACATTATTTCCACGTGACATAAGAGTACTTATAATTATAATAATAGAGTCAGAATTACTGTCCTGAATTTCGTGAAAATATTGTTTGTATTAAGTATTGGTTGTATTAAGTGCAGAATGCGTAACTAGAAGTTAATTTTTGAATCATATTTTGTATAATTCAAATGGGAATGTAAAATACCAAATATGATCGTAGGATTTCAAGCGGAACTTAGTGAGAAGGAGATATGGCTGGAATCTATAAAAGTAATACAGCCTCAGAATTGTCCATTACTTTCAACTGCTAAATCGTTAATAGAGATGCATCAAAATGTATCAGAGATAAATAGAATAGTCGATAAAATAATAAATTCTGTTCTTTTCAATCAAAATGAATATATTACTCTTAGACCATACAGAGACTTTCAAACTAATGATGTGTTCTTTCATAATAAATATGTAATAATCTTCAAGAATTTAAATGACTTTAGCCAGCCAATTGGAGATTATAACAACTTTTCTGTGGGATTTTGTCATCATTTGCGAACATTATTATAAACGATACGCAAAGTAGGTTACTTTCACGAATAAATTAACCATTTCTTAACGAATCATTCAAATTCCGAATGTAGATGTGTATTTTTATTTTCTATAAAGGTGTAAAATTACTTCGTAAAATTTGTGTACTGTGATTATTCCAATGAATTTTGACTAATAATTGATATTAGCACAAATGATCGTAAACGTCGTATGTTTCAAGTTTATTCGCGATGTATATTTGATAATGAATTTTGGTAAGTTAGTTACATCTTCAGTTACAAACTGAAATGTCAACATTCCCGAGGCACGCGGAAACGTTTGTAAACACTTGAACAGTTTCTTCCAAACAATCGCTGAGATGACGCACAAATATGTTATTGTATACGTATGACATACGTATAACATATATATAGAATTCCGTCTTTTTCTTTGAGATGAAGAGCTTTCGAACGTTATACTTCCAAAGTGATATCATAAACTATTAATAAACTAGTAAACACGTCAATGGCATATTGATACAGCCGAAGTGTTTAAATATTGTGGACCACGCATGCCCGACCGGTATCCATTAGTTTCTTATCCGGAACACTTGTCACGTTGGCAAATCGAGAAACGTAGATTTCGAAATTTTCGTACAAAGTGCAATACATACAGAGACAGAAGCCTCCAACAATCTAACGATATTGTACCAACATTTTCCAAACTTACTCGTTAGTTTGAAGGTGGCAGAACTGAGAGAAAATAAGAGAAAGAGAGAGAGAAAGTGACAGAGGAGGGGGGGGGAGGCAACATTATCTATCAATCTCCGAGAGTACAGTGGAAAAAGGGCAGCTTTTCTAATTGCCGCGATCTTAGTGGCGCTCGCAACTTTCTGCCTTTCCTGCCGCGAGCGATCGAGTGGTCCGTTGGTGCCGCGTGGATCGATAACGAGATCAAAATAAGCGGGGCTTCCTCTCTCTCATGAAGGAGCTTTGCGTCGGGCTCGCAAGCCGGCACGAGATTTAAACGCTGGCACGTGACAATGTCAAAGGGGTTACGCGAGATGGAGACGGAACAAAGGCTTTCCCGGCACGTGTGCAACGTGCGCGAAATCTTATCGTTATGCAACCGACGCAGAGTGCTATCATAGATCGTAGCTGGGTAGGTAGGTGGGTGGGTAGCTAGCTTGCTGGATGTGTAAGAGATGGTTTCCTCGACGTCGGAGGCAGCCGACGATGCGACCGAGTAACGAGAGCCGTAGATCAGGCTCAAGTCCTCCGCCGCGCGGCTCTTTCTTTCGGGGATTTCGTCGAAGCGCCGTAGAATTATAGACTCTTTCGAGGCGGCGCGCGCCGAGAGAGAATGGCCGGCGGAGTCTCAGACAGCCCGGTTGGTAGCCGGGCTCTCTTCTTTTGGCATCGCGTCCTCTCGTCGGAGAGAACCGACTGGGAACGCGCCACTAACTGAGCGGCTATTATTGCCGCCGCTCGTGGAATCCGCATCGATTTATTAGGGAATTCTGTACGGGCTGTTTCGCGAGAAATCGAACCGTTAAGCAACCAACGAGCCCACCAATCGGACGTTGGTGGAACTCATGGACGAATTAGATTCGCGCCGATTTACATTCGGAGAAATAACTTAGCGCCGGCAGTTAAATCCTCACCGGTGGTGTAAATAACGCTCGCGGAACGATCGCGCACGGAACGATCAATGTTGCGTCGGGGAGTCACATTTGCGGGGAGAAGCGCGCTTCTCTGATGACTCGGTATGGCGCTCACGGGAAACAACCTCTGGAAAAATGGAACGGTGTTCGTTCGCGTTGACGCTATCAACAGCTCGTCGATTAATAGAACGGACGATCTTTACGGTTGCGTCGTTGGTCGTCTCTGTTCCATTAACGGTCGAATAGAAGTTACAGACCCAGCTTCGCTAATACACTATTTTACCTTTTTTTATCTCCGCCCCCACCCCCTCCAACCCTCCCCTCCATCCATCGTCCTCAGGCGATAGCCCCAACAGCTACTGTAAAGTCGTGAAGAAGACGTTTCCAATCTCGATCTTCAAAGAGTCCGTTAAAACTCCGGTTATTTTCCTCCGCCGCCTCAATCGCGGCGCTCTCGAGAGCGCTCCGCTTCCACTTGTGCACCGCCGACGTCGTCGTCTAACTTCCGACGAAATCACCGGACGGCGATTCTTATCGCCCGATTGTTTATCGAAGGCACGCCGCACGATAGAGGAGTCACGTTTCAATTTCGCGCGGTTTTTTCCCCGTTCAAATCTCACCTTCTCGATTGGCGTACATACGGTCGAGTGGTCTTTGTCTTCATTGCGAAGACACAGGACGTATCATTTTTGTTTAACTGAGAGCCAAGAACTGAATATAATCCCGCGTGATCCTTTATGATATCGATTAAAAATCGCGCACTTCCGATCTCTGTCATTTTTTCCGCGTTATGCGTGATATCTCCCTAAATAGAAATTTGTTACTGACACGAGGCACTGGCCGATTTGTAGTGCAGTATTGGATGTCAGTACTGGTTTAATACCGGGATGATAGAAATAGGCTAGTATAGTAACAATATCGTAACAGTGACACAGGACACATCGTAACGGTGCTCGTAACTCGCTATCCTGTAACTGTGAACGACAGTGTCGTTACGTCGTCATTGCACAGATCCAACAAATGGCAGAAAAGCTCACACGTTGTTATAAGTTACAGAATCGGAGTACAGTACCGAGAATCAGTACTGTATTTGTCTATCAAAAATATTCTATAATACATAATTTTTAGAGTATTTATCTTAATCCGTCTCATACCCGAATTTCCCGGGTATAAATATTTACAAGATATTTAATGTCTATATTTTAAAAATATTTTATAAATATTGCGCGCTGTCTGGACCAGTACTGAGCCAATACCAAAACATGACGTCCGCTTTTCGGCAACTGAATACCTAATCCTGTGTTGGCAGACTATGCACGATTCCTACAAGGATCTGCAAGTAATTAGACTGATTCCCTCGGAATAAAGTCGTGAAGCTTCGCCTGTCCATGACGCGTCTCTCCCCGAAGGAGAAGTCCCGTTCTCTCGCGGATTCGACTTCGCGTTCGTTTTCGTGAGCGTACTGAAGACCGAGCGATGTCGCTTAATTTTAGCGCCAGTCAGGAACGACGAATGGCGGCCTGTGATCTCGACGGCACATATATTTCCGAGTGGTCGGAACGCGTCGACTGAGCCGCAGCGAACCATGACGCCACGCGTCTACGCCGGAATCACTCGGCACGTCGTTGGCGTGCCATAGTGAAGCAAGAAATTCACCCCGCGATTCACATCGATACAACACCATGATCCCTTACGGTAGTCCGCCCGTAAATTTCTTTCTTAGGAATCTTTTCGAATTTTAACAATGTATCAATCGAAACGCGATCTACGTGTATGTAAAATTAGAGAAATATTGAAGAGAAAAGCCATACCAAAGCTGAGATAATAGAAATCCAAGTTGATACTGTTTACTCGTGCCACAGGTATGAAAACAGCTTCCGATATTACGTTTTTGACTGTAGCAACTAAACTACTTTTACGGTTTCAACGAAAAACGAGGAAACGTTTAAAACTTCTTCTTTCAATGTCATTGTGATCAACTCCTGAATATTTTGTTTCAGACTACTAATCGTTAAATAACACTCTAATATTTAATTTATTTCATTTCCTAAACATAATGCTTTTAAAATTCTAACTTTAAGAAAATAAATGTCTTTTTACATGTTATATTTATATGTACATATTCCACTATGTGTTTAAACTTTATTAGAATATTCAATCTGAAAAATCATATTTGTAGCTTCTATTAGCTCCACTTTCAATTGAAATTGACAACAGTTCCCGATATTGGCCGAAACATACATAAACATATTATTATAGTCCTTAGTATACAGTCGAAGCGTGAACATCCATTCCGCGGAGCTGTATAGAAGATTTTATTATTGTCGCACACGTCGAGTTTTGCGCATTATTTCACAAGTTATATTACTAAAGAATTTTATTAAACGCTTAAAAAAGCACATCGGCATGAGCAACCCGAATATACAAGTGTTTAAATATCATGGACCTTATACGGTTGAATATTATAATCAGTTTTTCAACCCGAATACGTGTCACGTTTGTAAAACGGTAGACCGAGGTGATTTAATATTATGTGATCGGTGCTCTTTGATTTCTTACTGCAGCGAGAAACACAAAATAGAGCACCACACGGAACACGAGGAAATCTGCACAATTATAACGCGATTGGGCTTACAGAAAGACACGCGCAACTATAGCAACTGGCAACAATGGATTGAATCGAGAAATGAATTTATGGCAGCGATCCAACAGAATTTTCATCGTCCAATGAAATCGTATGAAAAGCAAATGATATTGTGGTCAAAATCGTGTGTTGTTTGTCACCAACAGACGAGACTTCAGACTTGCCAAAAGTGCTTCTCCGCTAATTATTGCGATGCACACGCGGGAGCTTTCACCAAAAAACATGATGCGGACAAATGCGAGCGATTAATGCGGTTGCTTAATATAGATATCGAAATTATCTCTGGTAATACAACTGGTATATCGTATGCATTTCTTGAGTCGGTTAATGAGAAGAAACATTTTGCAGAGATGCTTGAATTTTGTGTAGATTATGTGCTAATATCGAGGAAAGATGTAAATTGGCTCGCTAAAGACTACATTCTGTCTGATCACCTTTCAGGGCCACTGACAATCTATTCTGGGTTTAAAAGAAATAATATATTATTTTTTCTAAAAAAATCAAAAATTGTCATTCATATTGTAGCCGCGACCACGGTAGATAAAGATAGTTTACCAGCTTGGGAAATTTTATTACACCTTATACCTAAATTGACAGAATTAGTAATTTTTGTTGTAGGGCCGGATTTGACGTACTATTCGGATAAACATAAACTTTGTAAGCTTTGTTCGGATAGTAAAAAGTCATTTTCGTTTACTGTAATATCTATGTTGTACCATGATTATGCATCATCGCCTGAGCATTACATACGACCAAACTTAATCGTAGGATTTCATGCGGAATTTAATATGAGCAACATATGGTCGAAATCTATAAAAGTAATGGTCGAACTTTGTCCGATACTTTTAACTTCATCCGAAAAAGATGCTGGAAACAGCTTAGAAGAGATGAAAGATATTCTAAGCACCAATATAGAACCTATCTTTAATGGGAAAAATTATTTTGCTGGCCTTGCGCCACACAGAGACATAGAGACTGGTGATACATATTTTCGTAATGAACATTTAACTTTGCTCTCTGAATTAATCTGTGATAATGACACATCTGACGATACAATAAGTATCAGCGAATAATTAATAATCGTACTATCGTTTCGGTAACATTATTGTGACAAATAAAAATTAAATTATTGTTATTATTAAACTGCGAAAGTTTAAAATAAAGATTTTCCTTCTTTAATAGCAATTACACTGTTTTTTTATTACGAAAATATTACTCTGACAATAAATGTGACGATCTAATGATCATACTTTATATAGTGTGATTGACAATTAACCCTGTTAGCAAGAAATATTAAGTCAATCTTTTGAAACATTGTTTTTGTGTGGATTTTATAAACATTTTGAGCATAATATTTTATAAATGTTTTAAACTTGTTACTTGATAATATAATGTTGTTACTTGATAATATAATATTTCTAAATATTATAATGTAGAAATTATAGTGTAGAAATTATTTTTAATGTTTGGATCATATATTGTTTACAATAATATTATATACAACAATAAGAACTATACAGGGTGTCCGTCCATAAGTGTCCAGCTGAATATTTTGAAAAATATGTATTTTTGAAAAAAATGTTACACACAAAAGTTGTAAGATTTTATGTGACACATTAAATAGTAGTATTAGTATATGAATAGCGTTGTCAAAGTCATGTGAAGGTCACCAATTTCTTAAATAGAAATCTTCATTTTTTATTACATTCTTGTAGCTTATCTCGAAAGCTTTGCAAAACAGTATGACAATGTAGTTTTTTGTGAAGTACTTTTCGAGTTATGAAGCTTAAAAGTTACATTACTGCCGGCATTAGCATTACTCAAGTTGTACCATGTACACATTGTACGGATGGATTTACACCTCTTTTGTATGTCGTTCACATACATATACATATATTTATGTAGTAGCAGTCAATAGAAATTAAAATCATACTTAGTAAAAGTTTCTACCATGCATCGTTTACGAGATAATTAATATCTTATGTATTAAACTGATAAATTAGACTGTAAACTGATTGTTGAACTGGAGTGAAATGTCAAAAGTTGAAACAAAAAGAATAAACTTTAATTGATGAGACATTAATAAAATAGAATAGAATAAAATAGAATAGAATAGAATAGATGAAACATTTTTTAACACATAACACATTGCCCGAAATTACGACCGCCATGTTCGACACAGCATTCGGCGTTGTACAACATTTCTCAAAGTGTTAATTCTTTATGCTTTCTTTCATTATATTTTTCTTTCTTTATGGCGAAGATATAACATATTATCTTAATATGTTTTAATAATTATCTCTATTGATGATTTGCATATTTCAGTCGGTTTTCATTTAGACATTTACTTAAAAAATTTACTGTCAATCATAAAATATCATTAGACGATAATAGTAACATCAATGTCTGGGGAGAGTTGTCGTTCCCGTATTTACTTAGTTTTATTTCAGTATTATTTTTTATAATGTTATTTGTATTTTTTTTCGTAGAATGCTTCGTAGAATAAAATAACAAGAAAATACAAGAAATGCAAACAACGGAGCACAAATGAAGTGTTTTTATACGAACAAACATTTGAAGAGGTTATAAAAGGCCATTCCGTATAGAAATTTTCTCTGATATAATGGATTTTGATTAAAATATCTAAAGTTGTCCAAAAACAAGTTATCCGATCTCGATACTATTCCCATTCTTATCCCAATTCTTATTCCCATTCTTATCCCAAACTTATATTTTAGGATTTAATTGGAATCTTGTTTGATTTACTAAAATAATGATGGATT